CCTGCCGCGTCCCCACTGCCTCTGTAGCGGGGATGCTGCTCGCTGGGCTCCTGCTGCTGTGTGTGTGTTGCGGGGGAGGGGGCGGTGTCCCTTCTTTCCCTCCCTTCCCGCGGGCTTCCCAGTAGGGGGCCTGGGAGGGCTCCCCTAGCCTTCAAGGGGCCAGAGCCCATCTCGCTCGGACAGGCCCACTCCACTGGACTGGCCGCAGCAGCAGGTGTGGCCAATGGATGGGACTGCTTGGCCCCAAGATGCCCCAAACTACCTGTGTCTCACCAGGTGGCTCACCCCCTCTTTTCTTCCTGCCCCACCTCCCTGGCCCCTGCACGAGGCTGGGCGGCCCCCTGAGGGGCACAGGAAGGCCGGCAGGAGGGGTTTGAGCCCCCTACCCCGCCTGCTTCCATTGTAGGCCTCAGGTTTCCCCTCTTCTCACATGGGGCGCTACTCACAAGCAACTAGCCTTGCCCACTCCCACCCACTGCGCTTCCTCATATAGTTACGGGATCCTGTACAAATCCCCATCCTTGCCCAAGGTACATGCCCCTGACCGGAATCGAACCTGGGACCTTTCAGTCTGCAGGCTGACGCTCTATCCACTGAGCCAAACTGGTTAGGGCCTCTGGCTCTATTTTTGTTCATCAGTTATGTTGTTCATTATATTGCACAAATGAGTGAGATCATGTGATATTTATCTTTCTTCAACTGGCCTATTTCGCTTAGCATAATGCTCTCTAGTTCCATCCATCCTGTTGCAAATGGTAAGAGTTCCTTCTTTTTTACAGCAGCTTAGTATTCCATCGTGTAGATGTACCACAATTTTCTAATCCACTCATCTGCTGATGGGCACTTAGGCTGTTTCCAAATCTTAGCTATGGTGAATTGTGCTGCTGTGAACATAGGGGTGCATATATCCTTTCTGATTGGTGTTTCTAATTTCTTGGGATATATTCCTAGAAGTAGGATCACTGGGTCAAATGGGAGTTCCATTTTTAATTTTTTGAAGAAAGTTCATACTGTTCTCCATACTGGCTGCATCAGTCTCCATTCCCACCAGCAGTGCATGAGGGTTCCTTTTTCTCTGCATCCTCTCCAGCACTTGTCGTTTGTTGATTTGTTGATGATAGCCATTCTGACAGGTGTGAGATGGTACCTCATTGTTGTTTTGATTTGCATCTCTCGGATGATTAGTGACTTTGAGCATGTTTTCATATGTCTCTTGGCTTTCTGAATGTCCTCTTTTGAAAGGTGTCTATTTAGATCCTTTGCCCATTTTTTGATTGGATTGTTTATCTTCCTTTTGTTAAGTTGTATGAGTTCCCTATAAATGTTGGAGATTAGGCCCTTATCAGATATAATGTTGGCAAATATGTTCTCCCATGTAGTGGGCTTTCTTGTTGTTTTGTTGATGGTTTCTTTTGCTGTGCAGAAACTTTTTATTTTGATGTAGTCCCATTTGTTCATTTTCTCTTTAGTTTCAACTGCCCTAGGAGCTGTATCAGTGAAGAAATTGCTTTGGCATATGTCTGAGATTTTGTTGCCTTTGGATTCTTCTAGAATTTTTATGGTTTCCTGTCGTACATTTAAGTCCTTTATCCATTTTGAGTTTATTCTTGTGTATGGTGTAAGTTGGTGGTCTAGTTTCATTTTCTTGCATATATCTGTCCAATTTTCCCAACACCATTTATTGAAGAGACTATCTTGGCTCCATTGAATGTTCTTTCCTCCTTTGTCAAATATTAATTGAGCATATTGGTTCGGGCTAATTTCTGGACTCTCTATTCTATTCCACTGATCTATATGTCTGTTCTTGTGCCAGTACCAGGCAGTTTTGAGAACAGTGGCTTTGTAATACAGCTTGATATCTGGCATTGAGATCCCACCTACTTTGTTCTTTCTCAGGATCGCTGCAGCTATTCGGGGTCTTTTTTTATTCCAGATGAATTTTTGGAGAGTTCGTTCTAGATCTTTGAAGTAGGCCATTGGTATTTTAATGGGAAGTGCGTTGAATTTATAGATTGCTTTGGGTAGTATGGACATTTTAATGATGTTGATTCTACCAATCCAAGAACATGGTATGTTCTTCCATCTCTTTATGTCTTCCTCTATCTCTTTTTTCAACGTCCTGTAGTTTTCTGAGTAGAGGTCTTTTACCTCTTTAGTTAAGTTTATTCCTAGGTAGCTTAATTTTTTTGGTGCGATGGTAAATGGGATTGTTTTTATAATCTCTCTTTCTGAAAGTTCACTATTGGTGTATAGAAATGCCTCAGATTTCTTGGGGTTAATTTTGTATCCTGCTACATTGCCAAATTCATGTATTAAGTCTAGTAGTTTTTTGATGGAGTCTCTAGGGTTTTGTATGTATAATATCATGTCGTCTGCAAATAAGGACAGTTTTACTTCCTCTTTTCCAATTTGGATGCCTTTTATTTCTTCTTCTTGTCTAATTGCAATGGCTAATACTTCCAGGACTATGTTGAAGAGGAGTGGCGAGAGTGGGCATCCCTGTCTTGTTCCTGTTCTTAGGGGAAATGGTGTTAGTTTTTGTCCATTGAGTATGATGTTGGCTGTGGGCCTGTCATATATGGCTTTTATTATGTTGAGGTATGATCCTTCTATTCCCACCTTGCTGAGAGTTTTTATCAAAAATGGGTGTTGGATTTTGTCGAATGCTTTTTCTGCATCAATTGATATGACCATGTGGTTTTTTTCTTTCAATTTGTTTATGTGATGTATTACGTTTATTGATTTACGGATGTTGTACCATCCTTGCATCCCTGGGATAAATCCTACTTGGTCATGGTGTATGATCTTTCTGATGTACTGCTGGCATCCATATTCATCAGGGATATTGGCCTGTAATTCTCTTTCTTTGTAGTATCTTTATCTGGTTTTGGAATTAGGATAATGCTGGCCTCATAAAAAAAATTTGGAAGTGTTCCTTCCTCTTGGATTTTCTGAAATAGTTTGAGGAGTATAGGTGTTAGTTCTTCTTTGAATGTTTGGTAAAAGTCTCCCATGAAGCCATCTGGACCTGGGCTTTTGTTTGGTGGAGTTTTTTTATTTCTGCTTCTATTTCATCAGTTGTTATTAGCCTATTCAGGTTTTTTTATTCTTCCTGATTTAGTTTTGAGAGATTGTATTTTTCTAGGAATTTGTCTGTTTCATCCACATTGTCTAGCTTGTTGGCATATAGTTGTTCATAGTATTTTCTTACAATCCTTTGTATTTCTGTAGTGTCAGTGGTTACTTCTCCACTTTTGTTTCTGATTTTATTTATTTGGGTCCTCTCTCTTTGTTTCTTGATGAGTTTGGCTAGTGGTTTATCAATTTTGTTTATCCTTTCAAAGAACTAGCCCTTGGTTTCATTGATTTTTTTTTTTTTAGTCTGTATGGTATTTATTTCTGCTCTAATCTTAATTATTTCCTTCCTTCTATTTGCTCTGGGCTTTTCTTGTTCTATTTCTAGTTCTTTAAGTTGTAGGGTTAAGTAGTTTATTGTTGATTTTTCTTGTTTTTTGAGGTATGCCCGTAGTGCTATGAACTTCCCTCTGAGGACTGCTTTTGCTGTGTCCCAGAGATTTGGGGTGGTTGTGTGTTCATTTTCATTTGTTTCCAAGAAGTTTTTGATTTCTTCTTGAACTCGTTTGTAACCATTCATTGTTTAATAACATGCTATTTAGTCTCCATGTTTTGAATGTTTGGGGCGTTTTTACTATAGTTGATTTCATTCCACTGTGATCTGAAAAGATGCTTGATATGATTTCAATCTTCTTGAACTTGTAGAGACTTGTTTTGTGTCCTAACATGTAGTCTATCTTTGTGAATGATCCATGTGCACTTAGGAAGAATGTATATTCTGCGTTGGGGTGAAATGTTCTATAAATGTCGATTAAGCCCATCTGATCAGTGTGTCCTTTAGAGTCTGTTTCCTTGTTAAGTTTTTGTTTGGAAGATCTATCCAGTGAAGGCAGAGGGGTGTTAAAGTCCCCTACTATGACTACATTATTGTCGATCTCTCCATTAAAGTTCTCTAGAAGTTTTTTTTTTATATTTAGGTGCTCCTATATTGGGTGCATATATGTTTACCAGGGTTATATCCCTTGTTAAGATCGATCCCTTTAGTATTATGTAGTGACCTTTGTTGTCTCTTGTGATGTTCTTCATTTTAAAGTCTATTTTGTCAGATATGAGTATTGCCACTCCAGCTTTTTTTTCTTTTCCATTTGCATGGAAAAAGTTTTCCCATCCCTTCACTCTCATCCTATGTGTCTTTTGTTTTGAGGTGGGTCTCTTGTAGACAGCACATAGTTGTGTCATGTTTTTGTATCCAGTCAGCTACCCTATGCCTTTTGATCGGAGCATTTAAGCCATTTACATTTAGGGTTATTATTGATATGTACTTATTTATTGCCATTTTAATTCTGTATGGCCAGGTTTCTCTCTCTGTTTCTTCTTCTCATTACAGCAATCCCTTTAGCATTTTTTGTAATGCTGGCTTGGTGGTAATGTACTCCTTTAGCCTTTTTTTTTGTCTGGGAAGCTCTTTATTTGACCGTCTATTTTGAATGATAGCCTTGTGGGATATAGTAATCTTGGTCTCAGATCCTTGCTTTCCATTACATTGAGTACTTCATGCTATTCCCTTCTGGCCTGTAGAATTTCTGATGAGAAATCAGGTGTCAGCCTTATGGGAAGTCCTTTGTAGTTAACAGTTTTCTTTTCTCTTGCTGCCTTTAAGATTCTCTCTTTGTCTTTAATTTTTGGCATTTTAATTATGATGTGTCTGGGCATGGGCCTGTTTGAATTCTTCTTGTTTGGGGTTCTCCTACACTTATGTGACTTTTTCCTTTAGGGACGTTTTCTGCCATTATTTCTTCAAACACCTTCTCTATGCCTTTCTCCCTTTCTGCCTCTTCTGGCACACCTGTTATTCTAATATTGTTACATTTCACATTGTCCCACAACTCCCTTAAGCTGTCCTGTTTTTTAATTGTTTTATTTTTTCTTTTTGGCTCTCTGATTGAGTGATATTTCAACTCTGTCTTCTAATTCACTAATTCGATCCTCAGCTTCCCCTAATCTGCTGTATATTCCTTCCAATGTGTTCTTTATTTGTGTTACGTCATTCTTTATCTCAGAATGTTCTTTTTTCATAGTTACTATATCTTTTTTCATGCTGGTGAGCATTTTTACCATCATTATTCTGAACTCTGATTCAGATAAATTTCTTATCTCTGCTTCATTTATCTCTTGTTCTGGAGACTTCTCTAGTTCTTTCATTTGGGGGTTGTTTCTTTGTCTCCTCATTTTGGCTTTCTGTTGGGTTTGTGACTATGTATTAGGTAGGTCCTCTACACTAAGCATGTCAAACTCAAAGGCTAACATGGGCCAAATAAGTGAGGCATGCGGGCCGCAAGTTTGACATGCTTGCTCTACACCTCAATCTCCAGTGCAGGATAGTCTTTTTTTTTTTTTTCCAAGAGAGAGAGAGAGAGAGAGAGACATTGATGTGAAAGAGAAACATTGATTGGTTGCCTCCCTTTCACACCCTGACCAGGGCCAGGGATCGAGCCTTCAACCGAGGTATATACCTTGACGGGGAATCGAACCTGAGGCTCTTTGGTCTGCGGTGCAATGCTCTAACCATTGAGCAACCAGCCAGGTCTGTAAATACTTCTCTTAGTGTGTCAGAGGCAGTGGCTCATGCAGCTGATTTCTCTTTTGCTTTCCAGTGAGGTGATTGCGGAGGAGTCCATATTATGTCTCCAGAAAGCCCTGACTCACCTTCGGGAAATATGGGAATTGATTGGGATTCCTGAGGACCAGCGGTTACAAAGAACTCAGGTTGTGCATAAGCATATCAAGGTGAGTTTAGTGCTGGTGTCTTTGCAGGAGGACACGGGTATTAAAATTTTGAAATTATTGGTGTTTTGGTGTTATTTGTTATTTGGGATTTCCCCCCCCGCCTTAGTTCCAAACTTTTATGGGGCTGTTTTCTCTCCGGTAGGACCTCCTGGATATGATGATTGCTGAAGAGGAAAGTCTGAAGGAAAGGCTCATTAAAAGCATAGGCAACTGTCAAAAAGAGTTGGCTGTCTTGTGCAGCGAGTTGCGTGTTGAGCCATTTCAGGTACACGGTCTGGGCTCCTGTCTGGGTCTGAGATTGAGGCTGAGCGGAGGGTGTCTGTGTCAGGATGGTCCTGGACACGGGAGGTGGGGGAAATGTGCTGCCTGGCCAGCCAGTCCCAGCAGTCATTTCACTGACGTAAAGAGTTGCCCTGTTGAGAGGTGAAGCAGCTAATTTATTTTTTTGAGAGTTTGTTTATTAAAGCTGGGGACAGCGAAACAAGGAAGGGCTTAGGGTAAAAGAAATAGAGAGAGTCTTGTGGGAGCTGTTTTGGGAAGTCAGAGAAAAGGGGGCCTTGGAGACAGGTTCAAGGGGTTGGTCTGGGACAAGACGCTGAGCATTGCTCCCTGATTGTAAGTCTCCTGGGGACTCTCAGAGTTTCGGAGATGCCACGCCTGAGGGAGAAAGGCGTGGGCCTGCTCCCAGGAGGGACAGCTTGCCAGAGGTGAATCAGCTAATGAGTGTTGCCTGCTTTAGTCTAAAACACTTCCTCTTGCTATCAGTCTGTGAGGCATATACAACTTTTTTGTTTTTAATTCTGAGGAAAAGTTAGGCATAGATGATACTGTGCCATGAATTGATTTATTGTAAGTTGTCCTGCTCTTCCTTTGAGGAAATCCACTTGGAACCCTGTAACAACGGCATATCCTCTTCTACAGGAGGAAGGAGAGCCGACCATCTTGCAGCTGGAAAAAGACTTGCGCACCCAGGTGGAGCTGATGCGCAAACAGAAAAAGGAGAGGAAACGTGAACTGAAACTACTTACAGAACAGGATCAAGAACTGTGTGAAGTTCTTTGCATGCCACACTATGAAATTGACAGCGACTCCGTTCCCAGCCTGGAAGAGCTGAACCAGTTCAGAAAACATTTGGCAACTTTGCGGGAAACAAAGGTATACTCCTTGCACCATGCTTCCTAAAGGTCAGCTTGACTTTCCTGTGGGTATCTTCTGATCATTTGCTTTTACAGGCATCTCGGCGTGAGGAGTTTGTCAACATAAAAAGACAGATCATACTGTGCATGGAAGAATTAGATCACACCCCAGACACAAGCTTCGAACGAGATGTGGTGTGTGAAGATGAAGAGGCCTTTTGTTTATCTTTGGAAAATATTGCCGCACTACAGAAGTTGCTACAGCAGGTAATGTCTATTCGGAATATGGCCTGGGATCTCATCTCTATAGTAACCAGCAATTTGAAAAAAGTGACAGTTTTCCCCCCGCAGTGTTATATAAGGACCCAATGTAGGTTAAGAGAATGAGGGAGGGAGGATAAAGATAGTATATGCTATACAACCTTGATTTTTTTTTTTTTAAACAAAAAACTTAATTTATATGTAGCTGTAAGAATATGAATTTATGGATGAAATAATAGTCATTGAATTAGTGTTTAATTGAAAAAAATTTTTAAATCTTTATTATTGAGATTATTATAGATATTCCTCTTTTTTCCCCCCATTGCCCTCCTCCACCTGAAAAATAATTTTTTTATTTCAAAATTTGAATTCTAATTCTTGGGTCTGAGATCCTGCTGTAAATGACAGACTTATAGTTTGTGTTCAGAAGTCATGAAAACACCTCTTCACAATCTTGTAATAGTGCTTATTCTGTATCGGGTCCAGATACTTTGTGGGAAGCCAGAGGGGCCTCTGCTGCTGCCTTTGCCGTGACCACTGTCTTTCCTTGCCACAGCTGGAAATGCGGAAATCACAAAACGAAGCAGTGTGCGAGGGGCTGCGTGCTCAGATCCGGGAGCTCTGGGACAGGCTGCAAATACCAGAAGAAGAGCGAGAAGCTGTGGCCATGATTATGACTGGGTCGAAGGCCAAAGTTAAGAAAGCGGTAGGAAACCCATAGGGTGCTGGGTCAGTAGTCTCTACAGGCATTTTTATGTCTGATCCTATGTCTTTACCAACTTCTGCCTTGAACAAGTCTTTTTTTGTTGTTGTTAATCCTCACCCGAGGATATTTTCTCCATTGATTTTTAGAGAGAGTAGAAAGGAGGAAGAGAAACATTGATGTGAGAGAGACACATGAATTAGCTGCCTTCCACATGCGCCCTGACAGACTGGGGACCAAACCAGCAACCCAGGTACCTGCCCTTGACCTGGAATCAAACCTGAGACCCTTCGGTGCACAGGCCAACGCTCTAACCACTAAACACACAACGGCCAGGGCAAGCAAGTCTATTTTAAAGAAAGCATCAGAAAAACGTGGCAGTAACCCACTCATCTCTTATCTTTCCTGTACCTTTCTTAGGTTTCTGGCTCCTTTGATAGCATTGTTAGAGTGTCAACCTACCTCTGTGATTTTGTGCTGTAATTTTATTTAAAAAGGGAAAATTTTTGCCCCAGCCAGTTTGGCTCAGTAGATAGAGTGTTGGCCTGTGGATCAAAGGGTCCCGGTTCGATTCCGGTCAAGGGCACGTACCTTGGTTTCAGGCTCCTCACCTGCCTGGGCCCTCATCGGGGCTCGTGCAGGAGGCAACCAATTGATGTGTTTCTCTTACATTGATGTTTTTCTCTTGTCTTTCCTTCTCCCTTTCACTCTCCCTAAAAAAAAAAGAAAGAAAGAAAAAAATGAATGGAAAAATATCCTTGGCCCTAGCCGGTTTGGCTTGGTGGATAGAGGGTCAGCCTGCAACTGAAGGGTCCCAGGTTCGATTCCGGTCAAGGGCACATGCCAAAGTTCCAGGCTTGATCCCCAGTAGGGGGCGTGCCCGAGGCAGCCAGTCAGTGATTCTCATCATTGATGTTTCTGTCTCTCTCTCCCTCTCTCTCTGAAATCAATAAAAATATATTAAAAATATATATGTCCTTGGGTGAGGATTAACAAAAATAAATAAATAAAAATGGAAAAATTTTGAAAAGCACTGTGAGTGTAAAAGTATAACAAGCACCTTTACCAGATATCTGTGTTTCAGCTGCAATTAGAAGTGGATCGCTTGGAGGAACTGAAAATGCAAAACATGAAGAAAGTGATTGAGGCGATACGAGTGGAGCTGGCTAAGTACTGGGACCAGTGTTTCTACAGCCAGGAGCAGAGACAGGCTTTTGCTGCTTACTATGATGGTTAGTACAGGAGCGGTGGCCTTGATGTGGCCTGCACTTGTAAAGAAGTGCACATGTTCAGCAGAAAGTGTTTCCTCTGCTGAACAGTTATAACTACCTTTTCAAGCCTTTCACCATAAATTGCCATTCCTGTATCAGTGAGCATTTGCAGATGCTCCTGGGAAATAAGGGATGTCTTGATTTCTGAAGCAGCTTGTCACTGTAGCCTGTAGTTGTGAAGCTCAAGTTTATCAGCGCTTGCTTACTCTATGCCAGGTGCAATGTCAAACTCTTAACAATAATATCTCAATCTCATGTCAAGAGATGAGGACACAGGTGCCTAAATGTTGAGCAACTTGAACCGGAGGCACAGCGGGTAGAGGGCAGAGCTCACAGTTAAGGCCACAGAGTCTGACCCCAGAGCCCAGCAGAATTCTAGTCTGACCTGAACTGAGTGTAAAGATGAAGTTATCTACTAAATTCCACATTGGGGACATTTTCGTGACCCAGCCCACTACTGAGCAGGGTGGAAACAAAGGATATGAAAGAAAGCTAAGAGAAGGTGAGAGATGACACAGAGAGTTGCGAGTCTTAGTCATTTTAGTCCACACTTTAGGTCCCTACTCCCTAGTCCCTCCAGGCTGATGGTGAAAAACCAGATTTTTATTATCCACAGTGTATACTTATTCATGTAATGTTTTTACTATAATGAAGAATAATCTATTTCCAGTTTAGGGAATGAGGGGTTAGAAAGTAAGATGCTGAACACTAGAGGAATTTTTAAAACTCCTGGGCTTCTGTCTTGCAGAGGACTACACAGAAAGTCTGCTCCAGGTCCATGATGCTGAGGTTGTGCGGTTAAGAAACTACTATGAGGTTCACAAAGAACTCTTTGAAGGCGTGCAGAAGTGGGAAGAAAGCTGGAGGCTTTTCTTAGAGTTTGAGGTACTGCCCTCACTTTCCTCTGTTTTCCTTAGAGGACAATGAAGTATGAAGAAAGCATGTCTTTGCCCTGGCTGGTTTGGCTCAGTGGATAGAGCATCGGCCTGCGGACTGAAGGGTCCTGAGTTCAGTTCTGGTCAAGGGCACTTACCTCTCAATCCGTTGCAGCTCAATCCCTGGTCCTGGTTGGGGAGCGTCGGGAAGGCAACCAGTTGATGTGAGAGAGACATCTGTGGATGGTTTCTCTCTGCCTCTCCCCCTCCCTTCCCCTCTCTCTAAAAATGGAACAATATCCTTGGGTGAGGATTTAAAAAAGAGTCAGTCTCCTTTTCTCTTTACTGAGTTTCTAATACCAGTGTCTTCATCACTAAGTCTCTAGCTTACTACTGACCCGTCTGTATTTGTGAGGTTTATGTACAGGAACATATAAGAGAAAAACCCCGAACAAATGGCTTCATTAAGGTAGAAGTTTCTGGCATAAAGGAAGTCCCGAGGGGGCAGTGCAGGGCAGGTGTGGCAGTTCCAGTCAGTGGGGCCCAGGCTTCTCCGGCTCATGGCCCTTATCCTCAGGTTCCGGTTGGCCCTCGAGCTCCCACCACAGCCCTCGGGCGCCATGTGGAGGAAGGGACACAGAAGGCACTGTCCCGACAGCCCCTCGAAGGGCTCTCCCAGGCTCTGGTCCCAGCATCTCTGCTCATACGCCTCATCTCTGTGAGCGTGGCGGTCTTGCTGCCACAGAGGAATTCGGGTTCTGTTACTGAGGAGGGAGTGAAGGATAGATATTGGGCCAGGCAAGTAATATTTTCTCTTCCACTGTTTGCTGCTTTCTTAGAAAATTGCCTGGGTTTAGTACACATTTGTATGCTGAATTCCGTTTCTTCTGATCGATATAGCACAGGAGAGCTCGGGGCTGGGACTAGGAGGAGGCGTAGCGGACACAAAATTCAAGCAGCCTTGCTCTCAGGTTCATGCTGGCCCTGTTAGAGCCCAATGGGTCCTTCAGGGAGTCCTGAGTTCAACTTCACATTTACAGGCGGGAGACTAGGACTCAGAAGTGGGAGAACTGTGTGAGACCTTACAGCTGTTTCAGGACAGGTTTCCCCGTCCTCAGTGACCCCTGACTTCTGCTTGAAAGCAAGAAGGAGGGGGAATAACTGTCAGTAAAGAGCCAAATAAGTAGCCCTTGTTGACATGCAAGTGTTTAAGAAAAAATGAGAGACTAACTCCCATCCCTTGTAGGTATTGTTTCTAGGCCATCACCGACCCAGCAGGCTGGGAGGGAATGGAATTTCTTCACAAGCTTAGCAAATGGTCAGGATTGCTTCTGTACTTTTCTGATGACCTGCCCTAATTTTGAGTGTACACTTCTAATTTATGTGCTTATATTACTGTTCTGGTACACTGTACTGGTATACATGATAGAATTTAAAAAAAAACAAACACCCCAAAAATAAGAAGCCTAACATACTATATTTTTTTGTCCATTTTGTGAGGGTCAATTCAGTGAAAACCAGATTGTCTATAACCCTTAACCTTGCATATTTAAGCTGCATTGTCTCAATAGGCTGAAAGAGAGTGGACAAGTAGGGTGCCCACCAAGCTCTGAATGTAGACCTTTCCCTTGTCCCTCCACACAGCTCATTTCCTCTAGGTGATGTAATCTTTTGACATCCGAACCAAGGAATGGAGCCAGTGACGTGGTGCGCTAATATTGAAGCCTGTCTTCCTTTTTAGATGACAAAGGAAGCACTGGTTTTCCTGCACCAAGTGGATGTGCTCACACCCAGCTCCCCTGCCTTAGGCCCCCTCCGTTCCTCACTGCTGAGAGGGAGTGGGGATGCAAACCTCACAGTCTCCTTAACCAGTTAACTGCCACGAGTCCAAAACGGAAACCATCCCCACACGCCACGATATTTTGAATTTAATTTAAAAAGTCAATTTGCAATGAATATTATAAAAATAAATATATTACTCCCAATTCGGGTGTTCTTGAATATTTTCAGCTGAAAATTCTCACGAAAAACGATTTTAAAGTTGGTCAGGGCTGCCACCTAGGGAAAACTTTTTTTTTTTATAGACGCACGTGGCATGTAGGGAAGGTCCACTGCTTGCGTCTATAGACGCTTATGGCGTACAGTGGGTTAGTAATGTACATCCGAGTCCTAGCAGAAGGGATTGGTCTGATTGCTTGTTCCAGGGTTTACTCTAATTAAAATGTATTTTCACAGAGAAAAGCATCAGATCCAAGTCGATTTACAAATCGAGGAGGAAATCTTCTAAAAGAGGAAAAGCAACGAGCCAGGCTCCAGAAAACACTCCCTAAGGTAATAGTGTTAATAGTTTTGGTGCTTGACTACAAAATACCTCACTTTTTGTGGATTCTTTGCTTTGAATCATTTGCCCCAAACTGTCTTCTCTTTCAAGGGTTAGGCAAGGATAAGTAACACTGGGCCTTACTGGCATAAGCAGCTGTATGTCAAGGTGTATTAGTTTTCTAGCACAGCCATAAAAAATACCACCGACTAGGCGGCCTGAACAAAGACATATATTTTTTCACAAGTCTGGGGGCTGCAAGTCAGATCAAGGCCTAGGCAGGCTGGTTTCTTCTGAGACTTGTAGGTGGTTGTCTCTCCCTGTCTTCACACGTCAAATAAAACCACATTCTTCAATACTGGAGGTTAGACTTCAGCATATGAACGGGGTGGGGAGGGGCACAGTTCAGCCGATAACACAGAGCAAGTGCTTTATCTTTAGCAAGTTCTGTGGGCTTAGTATCTTCTCTGTTTTAATAATGATAATAGTATTTACTGAATGAAGAGCCAGGTATTCAAAGTGCTTTCCATTTTTACGATGAGGAAACGGGGCACTGAGAACTTAAGTAACTTGCCCACTTTTCACGGCTCGCAGGAGGCAGGGCCCAGGCCTGACCCAGATGGTGCTGCCCTCACTGCACGCCATTCTCACTTTCAGCTCCAAAACCAGTGGCGACGCTGGGCTGTGTATTGTGAACACACCATCCCTGGCCTTTGATGTCAGCTACTCTGACATTTCCCCACGTGGGTCCGGCTCCCCGGAGTCAGCCTGGTGAAGCTCGGGAAGGAGGAGTCATTTTGGGGGGAAATCATTTCCTTCAGGCTTCACACCAAAGGTTTGAAGTAAATAACAGTGCTTGTGTCTGGTCTCAGCTGGAAGAGGAATTGAAGGCGCAGATCGAGATGTGGGAACAGAAACACTCAGCAGCGTTCGTGGTCAATGGGCAGAAGTTCATGGAGTACGTGACTGAGCAGTGGGAGACGCATCGGTTAGAGAAGGAGCGAGCCAAGCAGGAAAGGGTACGTGAACCCAGTTTGGGAAGAGGGGAGGGTGGTCATGTGAGCAGCCAGACCTGCTCTCTCCCTGGGGTGTGTCACTGTTGCTTCTGACTGTCACACAGCAACTGAAGAACAAGAAGCAGACAGAGACAGAGATGCTGTATGGCAGTACTCCCAGGACACCCAACAAGCGGCGAGGAATGACTCCCACTACCCCGGGCAAAGTGCGCAAGGTAAGGAGGCTCCATGGCCCACTAGTGACAGGGCGTGTGGAGGGCGGGGCCACGCCAGCTCTCGCCATCTGTCCTGCAGGGATGGGGAAGGGTTTATGGAGACTTTCAGTTGAGTCCATTTGAGATTGGAGCATTATTTCTCTTCTCCTTCTACTCATCTATATTATAAAAAGCCAGTGACTGTAACACCGTAACGACCAAATGACCAGTCACCAGGAGGTGCATTGATGGGTCTAGTGCAGCCGTGGGCAAACTACGGCCCGCGGGCCGGATCCAGCCCATTTGAAATGAATAAAACTAAAAAAAAAAAAAGACCGTACCCTTTTATGTAATGATGTTTACTTTGAATTTATATTAGTTCACACAAACACTCCATCCATGCTTTTGTTCCGGCCCTCCGGTCCAGTTTAAGAACCCATTGTGGCCCTCGGGTCAAAAAGTTTGCCCACCCCTGGTCTAGTGGCACGGTGGGTTTCTGGGTCTCGCATGATTTCGCACGCTGGGCCTCTGGTACTTTATAATATATAAAAACCATTTTAAAAGCACCTGAACCATAATTCCAAGAAGAGTACTAAAACTATTTGGTATTTGTCTTGCTTTTTAAAAAATATTTTTAAATTGATTTCAGAGAGGAAGGGAGAGGGAGAGAGAGATAGGAACGTCAATGATGAGAGAGAATCATTGATTGGCTGCCTCCTGTATGTCACACACTTCATCAATCCCACAACCTGAGAATGCTTCCTACTGGCTCATAGGTCGATGCTCACCCACTGAGTCACCTTGGTTGGGCTTAAAACAGCTTTTAAAAATAAGGTATATTTACAAAGTAGAGTTCACATTATATAATTTTGATTTCTGCCTTTTTGCCTATTTTATATTGTTTGTGGGTTTTTCTTCATAGCATTAAACTTTCTTCAAGTACATGTTCATTGTTAGCTATTTGTTCTGTCCTCTTAACATTTTATGAAACTAGCTCCCTGTTGTTCAATATTATTATGGAAATAATGTGGTGAGCTTTTAAAAACATACATAAAAACACTAATATTCTGTTCTAGAAAGGTTTATTTTAATTAAAGGTTTGAGAATCTCTCTACTAAGAGTACAAGGTGGGCTATCCTTGGTGTCAAAGTGCTGCCCTCATATGTTTCTTTTTTAATTTATTTTAATTTTAAATATAGATTAATTTTTTTAATTGACTTCAGAGAGAGAGGAAGGGGGAGAAAGAGAAGAACAATGATTTGTGTTCCACTTACTGATGTGCTTCATTGGTTGATTCTTGTATATGCCCTGACCTGGGACCAAACTGCAGTGTTGGGACAACACTCTAATTAGCTGAACTACTCGGCCAGGGTTATAGTATTTTTTATTTTGTAATTACAGTTGGTGTATACCCGAAACTAATATAATGCTGTACCACCCAGTGACTGAACATTTAAATAACTTAAAAGGTGATCACCCCACTAAGTCCAGTGCCCACCTGGCACCACACATGGCTGTTACGTAGCTATGTTATTGACTGTATTCCCTGTGCTGGGCTTTCCCTCCCCAGGACGATTTTGTAATCACCAATTTGTGCTTCTTAATCCCTTCCCTTTCACCCAGCCTTCCAACCCTCCTCCCTGGCAACCGTCAAAATAGTCTCTGTATCTATAAGTCTGTTTCTGTTTTGTTTATTTATTTTGTTCTTTAGATTTTTCATATAAGTGAATAATATGGTATTTGTCTTTCTCTGACTTATTGTACTGAGCATAATACTCTCAAGGTCCATCCATGTTGTTGCAGGTGGCAAGAGTTCATTTTTTTTTATGATTGAGTCATATTGCATTATATGTATATACCACTCTTTTTTTTTAAATCCTTTCCCAGAGATATTTTTCCCATTGATTTCTAGAGAGAGTAGAAGGGGAGGGAGATGAGGGTGGAGAGAGACACATCGATGTGAGAGACATATTGATTAGTTGCCTTCCATACGCACACTAACCAGAGCTAGGAATCGAACCTGCAACAGAGGTACATGCCCTTTACCGGGAATCAAACCTGGGACCCTTGGGTCCACAGAGCTATGCTCTAATCACTGAGCAACCGGCTAGGGCTACCACTTATTTTTCCTTTCATATATTGATGTACACTTAGGTTTCTTCTGTCTCTTGGCTATTGTAAATAATGCTGTAAGGAACATATGTATGTATATGTCTTATTAGTGCTTTGGGTTCCTTCAGATACATACCCAGAAGTAGAATTGGTGGGTCCTTCTTTGTCTCTATAGCCTTTGTTTTAAAGTCTGTTTTGTCTGCTGTAAGTATTGCCACACCAGCTTTCTCATGAAATACCTTTTTCCATCCCTTTACTGTCAGACTTTGTCTTTTGATCTGAAGTGAGTCTTTTGTAGTCAGCACGTGAAAGGGTCTGTTTCATTATCCAGTCAGCCACCATATGTCTTTTTGATTGGAGTGTTTGCTCCATTTGCGTTTAAAGTAATTGGTGATAGGTATTTATTGCCATTTATTTGCATCTTCCCGCTTGGTAGAGGGCCCTTATGTAGGTAGTAGGTGTCCTGGAGGGCCCATGGTGCACATCCCCGGTCACCTGAGCTGGCGCTCCAGGTACGTCTGCCCTGTGTGGCCTATGTGCACCCTCTGGTTGTAGTTGAGCCTTGATCTCTATTGGCGGGGATTTACCCCTAAACTGATTGGCTTTGAGGACTGGCTGTAGCTACAGGGGAGGAGCTGCTGTTCAGCCCCCCCCCCCCCACATCCACTCCCCCTGTGGAGAGGACTCACTTCAGCTGGGCTCTGGTGTGGCCAAGTCCACCCCTTGAGTGTGTCGCTCTTGGAGGTGCTTGGGTGGGGGTGTGGCTTGGTCTGACACTGTCCACTGGGTGTGCTGGCTGTGGGGCCTCCTGGGAGGTGCAGGCGAAGGTCAGCTGCTGATTATGCCCTGCCCAGGGCCCCGGCATGAGAGACCGCGATCTGCGGATGGTTGGTACTGATTGCTGGGCTTGCAGGTGCCCAGGAGGGGCCAATCTGTGAACTGAGGCTTGCTGCCCCCAGGGCCAGGCTTGGGGCTGCTTGGCAAGAGGTTTGGGGGCGCACTGAAGTCAGGTGGTTCTTGTTTGGGGTTTGTGGACTTTAAAGAGATTTTAGGAGAGTCCACATCAGGAGCCAAGACGGGCCATTTGTATGGAAATGCGGTGAAATTAATGGAGGCTCGGATATGATGCCCACCTGTGCCTGCAGGGTGAGGGTGGGCTCAGCAAAGAATCAGTGGCATCTGCCAGCACACTGTCTGGGAGAAAGCTGCCTCTTCCGCTCTTGCCTCAAAGCCAGACAATTCAGTTCCTCCCGGTATGTTTCTGATGTTTTCGAGCTGCTGCCCCAGCCTAGAGCGAGTTAGTGTGAGAACGTCTGTGTGGGGCCCTTTAAGAGGAACACGTGGGCCTCTGGCAGCCCTCGGTCTCACTCATCCACCATGCTCCCTGGTTTTCACGGCCAGAAGTTATGGGACTTCTTGGCCCTGGAGCCTTGGGTTTGGGGGCCTCGTTTGGGGCAGGGACCCCTGGCTCCTCAGAGGGGAACCTCCGAGCTGACATCCCTACCAATGACCCACCCGCAGTGGGTGTGGGACCTGCCCGTTCCTCCTCTCTGCCCTCCCGCCAATCTCGACAGGACTGCAGGTCAGCTAGCCTCTGGCGGTTCTCAGTGATGGTGGTTCTGTTGTCTAGATGTCCTTTTGCTGTGGTCCTGGGAGGGGGCAAGCGTTTGTCTGCCATCTTGACCGGAAGCCCAACTCTCATTTCTGAAGCTTCAGCTGCACTAATCACACAGTCTGTGCTTCCGGCGGCAGGCCTGACACATGGTACTTTCAGACTTCTAGATTCTTGTTCACCTGATGGCTCTGAAGTAATGTCTGATTGTGATTTTGGTTTGCATTTCTCTGCTTACTAATGAAGTGAACATTTGTCTCTTTCTTACAAGGCTTGTAGGAATTCTTTGTTTTGGATGCTACTCCTGTCAGTTGTGTTACAGTAGCTTTCCCCAGGATTCTTGTGCGGCTTGTCTTTTTCTTCTTTATGGTGTTTCCTTGGTGAACAGGAAGTTCTTAATTTTAACACAGTAATCGTGTTAGCAGCCTGTTTTCTTTAGGGCTTGTACTTGCACAGATACCTTTTCCTGTGTTGTGTGTCCTAGTCTGTGTCTTGTGTTTGAACAGGTTTGCTATCCCATTTGAGGTTTTTAACCCACCTAGACTTTTCCGTGTAAAAAATGCTCAGCTTTACTGAGTGAGATGGACACATAGTGTCTACAGTGGACACTGAATAAAGGCTGACATGTATGCGCCTCGAAACTCACCACAGTCCAGACCGTGAACGTACCCATTGTCCAGTCCTCTTCCCCCCATTTCCAGACAAACACAATTTGCTCTGTCACTATGAGTAATTTGCATTTTTTAACATTTTATATATAGAGACTCATATATAGGGCTTTTTTTCACTTAGCATAATTTCTTCCATTTAGCATAATTTTGAGAGATGCATCATGGTGGTGCTCGCATCAGTAGGTCACTACTTTCTATTGTTGAGCAGTATCTACCATGTGACTTTACGTGGTTGGCTTATCCACTCGCCTGACAAATATCTTGGCTTGTTCCTGGTTTGTTGCTATTGCAGATGAAGCTGCTATAAATATTTATGTCTGAGTCTTTGTATGGAGCTGTGCTTTCATTTCTCCTGGGCTGGGTCATATGATAGGTGTCTGTCCAGTTTTAGAAACAGACGGTTATACTATTTTATAGTTCCGTGAACTAGACATTAATAGGCTCTGAACACTTTTCACAAGTTTGTTCAAAGCTCTTTATGGAAATGCATCTTTGTTAGATGCTTCCCAGACTCATTTCTCTGTCGTCTGGGGGTGGATTGCTGAGCATGTTCCCTGAATGAGTAATCTCTCTCTCTTCCTCAGCTGAACACTACCACCATGTCCAATGCCACGGCCAACAGTAGCATTCGGCCTGCCTTTGGGGGGACAGTCTACCGCTCCCCCGTGTCTCGACTTCCACCTTCTGGCAGCAAGGTTAGTAAGCTCTGCGTACCATCCCGTCCCCAGCACCACCCCAGCCTGTTTATCCAGGGGCCCCGCCTACTGGTTCCAGTTTCTGAGACCCCTGGATTCAGTTATCATTGAGATGCTGCGAGTTGGCAGATGCAAGCTGGTTAAGCTAAAACCGAATGAGAGAAAGAAGAGCATGGCCATGCTGAGCCCCACTGGTATCGTGGGGGAGCCCTGGGAGGGGGCTGGGAAGCTGGGGGGAGCTGGTGGGCTCCACACGCTCAGTTCAAAGCCAGGTCTTCAGGGGCTGCCCGTGGGTTCCAGCCCTGACGCTGGGTCACCAGGCAATCAGGTCCCCTCGCTGAAGGAGACAGGAGGGGAGTCTGTGCTGTAATGTGTTTTACAGATGATGCTCAAGATAGGTGTTCTGCAAATCATTAAGAGTTTTTTGGTTCATTTGTTTTTTACATCAAGCACTGTATAGGGTTACCGACAATGAGTGATATTAAGATGGTACAGTCTGTGTGTGTGTGCGCGCGTGTGGCCATTATAAGGATAACATGCTGATCTCTCCTTTCCCCACAGCCAATCCTCACTTCCACCTGTTCAGGGAAGAAAAACCCCCGTGCCGTTCGGCATGGAGCCGACAAGGAGAACCTGGAGCTCAATGGCAGCTTGCTGAGCGGTGGGTACCCCAGCTCGGCCCCCCTCCAGCGCAACTTCAGCATTAACTCTGTTGCCAGCACCTACTCTGAGTTTGCGGTAATTGACCTTTTCTAATATCTGCCAGTCTCTGGGGAGCACACAGTTGGGGCCGTGGGTGTCTTCCCACGGGGCCCCAGGCGCTCAGCTAGGACAGCGTTTTGGGGGCTGAGAATCCCTTTCCTGCCTTGGCCGTGCATGGGGTGGGGGGGTTTCCGGGAGGTATAGGAAGTTGACAGCAGCAAGTAGACATGTGACCCGGATCCTTCTGCTTGAGAAATACCAGTCCCTGGCTGCAGGAGGCGACCCTTCTCAGCACTGCCCTGGTGCTCTCTTGGTGGAGTTCTTGGTAATTGTCTTAATTCTCTGTTCTTAGAAGGATCCGTCCCTCTCTGACAGCTCCACTGTTGGGCTTCAGGTCTGTATGGCAACCCCTGCATGTCCCATGTCCCTTTCTCAAACCAGTCTGTCGTCTGCTGGCTTCGTTCCCATCTGGGCACAGGGCTACACTAACCAGTAATCGTCGGCTGTGGGACCACAGGCCCTTTTACAAAGGAAGCAGGAGTTCCCGAGGCAGACGCATAACCAGTCACCGGCTTCCGTTCCTGCACCCTAACCTGCCGAGTCACAAGAAAACTTGTGCAGACTTGGATTGGATTCTCAGCCCCACCTACCGTCAGGCAAAGTTTTTGTATCGTGTTACTCACAACAGAAAGCTTCCAGCATCTCGATGGTGCCATCAGAGGCCTCCCATGTGCTGGAAAGAATAGCGGCCCCCTGGCCTGGGAGGGGAGCCCCAGCTGTGTGCTGCTTAGAATGAGGTTCTTGGCCTACGTGATGTTTCTCCCCTGGAGTATGTGCCTTACTAACCCTCGGGGCTGAATGCCACCTGTCTGTCCGCTCTGAGCTGGCCAACGCTCACTTCCTCGCCTTTGCCTGTTTCTATCCCATTGAGCTGCTAAAGCATATGAGGCTGTGGGAGAAAGTCATTTTCCCAGAATGCTCTTCAGCTCCTGTATCCTCCTCCATATTTACCAACACTTCCCTGCAATGCCCTTTACTTAAGGGGCGTGCTCTCTTCTCTCAGTAGCTTCCTGCTGAGAGGACGAGGCTGCCTTACCCTTGGGATGCCGAGTTACAGGCGTGGGTGCCAGCTCTCTTCCTGCTGGGAGACGGCGAATGGCCCAGTTGCCCATGGCTACAGCTCGCTTTGAGCCCTGAAGTTAGCTTCCTATTCTGGCACCTTTTTTAATTACATGGTTGCTGTGGTTCTACCTGGGTGCACTCCGGCTGGCTGGCTGCTGGACTGCGGGTCCAGGCGTCTCTCTGGCTTGCTCAGTCAAGCCCCATTTCGCCCACTTGGAGCGCACCTGTAGCTGCTCACCTGTGGTCAAGCCGAAGGAGGGGCATGTGGTTTTGGTTGCTGTGGGTGGCAGCCTCCTCCAGGCCGCATGCAGCCAGTAGACTAACCTCCACTAACACCTGTCCTTCCCGTGGTCCTCTGTGCTTTCTCTGCTCCTTCTGTACCATGTGCTCCAGCATGAGATCAGATCACCGGCAGGTTACAAGGCCCTCAGCCCCAGGGATTGGTAGATATGTGGTCTGGCCCATTGTTTTATAAAGGGCTCAGACGCCAAAGCTTGTTGCCAACCCAGCTCGGCAACTCAGAGTACTTTCTGACACAAAAGGGATTTCTCTTCTGTGGGGTTTTAACACATGGACTGGCTGAGGGATGGGTCACGTGCTTAACCTGTGACTAATGGAATGGTGCTCACAGTGCCTCCCCATGGTTCCTAACACAGCCTGTGCTATGCACCTGTGTCAGAGAAGCGGCCCTCGGGCCCTACGCTGACACCTAACCCAAGCTGACGAGGGCGGGCATGCACGAGAGGGAATATCGCCACTGACGGTGTTTATTTTTCCACAGCGAGAACTTTCAAAGGCCTCCAAATCTGATGCTTCTTCCCGAATCCTCAATTCAACCAACATCCATCCCTAAGAAGCCCTGATCAGTCAGCTAGCTGTGGCTTCCTGGCCTAGACTGGACCCAGTTACACGGGGTGGCTTTCCTTTCTCTCAGTGTAGGTGTGCTTGAAACCCCGGGCAGGCTCATTACCACGGCCTGGCTGCAGACGAAAGCCCATCACAGGCCTAGTGGGTCCTTAGACACTTTGTTGGGAGATCTAGAACTTTGCACATGTCAGTCCTGGGGCATAGTTCCCGCTGCACCGTACTCAGTGCGGCCCCGTCCTTAGCTACTCGACTGGTCACTACGATTCTCCCAAAAGCACTATTATTTATTCCTGCTCCACCCGCGCAGTCCTGCTGTCAGAGCACTAAATGGTTCTAAGAGGCTTCCAGTGTGGCTCGGGCTGCACGTGGGAGCCCTGCTGTTTTAGTCTGTGTATACTTGTCCTGTTGTAAAATAGATATTGTTAACAATAAATAAAAATGTGTGTTGTTAGATTACAAAAACAATAGATTGTGTTTTCAAAATTTCCCAAGTAAGGTTTTAGTTGTTTTGGTCTGTGGAAAGCAGAAGTTTCTACTTCTACTTAGAAATTTTTTTTTTGTAATACATATTGTTTTGTGCATGTGTAAATGAAGTACATCTCTTAATCTGATAAAAAGGATTTAAAAAATGTTTTCTGTATTGATTTTAGAGAGAGAGAGGGGAAGGGATTGAGAGAGAGAGAGAGAGAAACATCAAATTGTTGTTCCACCTATTTGTGCATTCTTGTATGTGCCCCGACTGGGGACTGAACCAGCCATGTTGGTGTATTGGGATGATGCTGCAACCAACTGGGCTACCTGGCCAGGGCTGATCAAAAAAGGATTTTGAGAGAAAAAAGCCTAAGTCTTGATGTATAAAGGGATGAGTTGACGTGAGGAAACTTGTAGTTTCATTGGCATTTGTCATAAACGGGACTAGGTTTCATAGGGTGAAGCTGTGTGGCTTTTTTATTTTAAAACAAATTAAAAGTTTAGGTTTAGTTTTGATGTTTTGTATCATTAATTTGTATATTTCAGTTATAGTTGACACTGAAAACTGTGAGTTATAGGTGTCCAGTAGAATGGTGAGACATTTCTATAGCTTAGGAGGTGCTCCCCGAAGAAGCGCAGTGGTGGCCTGGGATTGGTGGATTCTTGCAGAAGCTACAGAAGTGGCACAAGCCAGAGCGCTGGGGGCGGACTAGGAAAAAGAACGCATCGTGGTGCAGTGAGGCTTGTCCTGGCAAAGGCAGTCGGGGTCTGTATTGCTGGTGGGAATAAGATGTTGCAGAAAACCGGGCGCATGCGCGCACGCACTTATGTGTGTTGTGGGGGTGAAAGTGTTTATATTGTTAGGCCTCTCAGTGCGGGAGTAAGTGCACAGAGAGGTACAGTGGCTACCTTGCTGATAAGAGTGGAGCGTTGTGCAGCTGTAACTGAAGGTGCAGAGGTGAGTGGGAGCCTGTGTAAATGTGTGTCTGTCATGTGGTCTGCACATTCATTGACTCACCAAGTCAACAGGCATCTACTGAACCCGGAGTTCGCCACTCTCAAGATCCGCACACAGTCCCTGCCCTCCTGCAGCTCAGACCTGCAGGGTGAGATGCAACACACAGGAGCGACACCAGGCGCTGGTAAGTGCTGTCCAGAAAACAGCACCTGGTGGGGTGGGAGCTGCTTTAGCTAAGAGGTTAGGGAAGGCTGGTCCGATGCAGTGACATTCAGTGGCATGAAAAGGAGCCAGCCCTGCAAAGCGCTGGGGGAGCGTTTGAGGCCGGGGCACAGCAAGCTGGGCTGGAGGGGAAGTGGGCTGGTCATCAGTGGGCGGAGAGACTGCCGGTGAC